CTGTTTGGGAAGCAATGAAAGGTGCTGAAAGATCCCTTTGTTAGACAATATAAATTGTACACTAACATTGCACTAAAACTCCCTCCCTCCTGAGAGGCTAATTTAACATTGGATTCCCAAGTGAGCAGGAAGAGGATTGGAGTATGCATGAGTTGCTGTGTGCTACCACAAAGCTACCAATTGCAGGCGTTCGCCTGGAAAATACACAGTCACTACACTTTGTATTCTTCCAAGCTGAATGGTACCACATAAATATAAACTGTGGTGTATTTACTGTACATCCTACGAAGGACTTCGAGACGTCCTCCCGATGTGAAAGGCGCAGGCACATTAACAATTAATATTTTTAATAACTGATAATAATCTCAGAGTGTGTAAACTCTGTTTTTAATTCTACCACAAAACCATCGAGGCATAAAATAAACAACTGAAGAGATCAATTGCTAATTTCGCTTTGCGAATCCTCTACTAAATTGAGGTGCGGTGTTATGGAGAAAAGAGGTTCTCCAGGTGTCCTGGCCAACAATCCCCCAGATAAAATTTGTCATTCACTTTATGGCTGTTTGTGGCTCATTCTGGGGTGCAAATTGGCTGCTGTGTTCTCCTTTTCTTTTTGGCCAGCCGGGTGTCTGACACATGTGGAAACGCATCACTGTTGCTTACGAGTCTCCAAACCGAGCTGAGAATTCCATGCATCCCACCAATACATGAAAATCCCAGAGATAGATTGTTGGAATGGAATCCACGCTCTCACTCTCTCTCTCTCTCTCTCTCCCTGGAAGGACGCAGCCTGCTTACCTAATTGCGGAAAGCATTAGGCTCTTGGCTCTGCAGTATTTTGTGTTTTGTTTATACTGTAAAGTGAACTGACTGTATATTTTGTGGGCGAAACACGGCAGCCAATTGCACGCAGCAGCGTCCCACAAACAGCCGTGGATTGAAGTGACCAATTTATTATTGTTTTTTTTTCTTGAGGGATTATTATCGGGGGGTGTGGAGTGAGGAAACTTGCCCAAAGTTTTGCCCTGCCCAGAATGGAACCCAGTATCTCGCTTGCCAGGCGAGTGCTCTAACCACTGAGCTACAGGACTCCTGTAGAAAGAGCCCCCAACGGACTACAGTCCTGTGGAGCTATGAACAACAACAACAACAACAAGATTACATTTGTATGAGGCCTTTCACGTCGGGAGGACTTCCCAAGGCGTTGAAACCCTATCAGAGGGTTAAAGACCTGCTTGTGTGGTTTTCCAGCATTTGCTAAGTGTCTGACATAGCTCAGTGTAGGCCTTATTTAACAATAATAATCCTTGCATTTGATAGAATAGCCTTATCATGTCACCGAGATGTCTCAAAGAGCTTCAAAGAATATACTGTACGACAACACCACCAACAATTTGCGATTTTATAGCGCTGTTCATGCGAGGTAGCGCCCTGGAGTGCTTTAAAGTGTAAGATTAACTGTAAGGCGAATTGACTGTATATTCTGTGGGCAAACCGTGGCATTTCACACATTTACTGCAGTGTCGGATTAATCTCTTACCCCAGTGATACCACCACAAGCATGCTGACCACTAATCACCCATTGGCATCGAGATTGCTCAACTTGTCACCATAGCACAAGATCACAAGGTCAAATGGACACGAGACCCAGTAACTCCATATCCGTCAAGAGAAGCTCAAATGCGTGTTAAAAAAGTAAACCAGAGATTGAGTTAACAATAGCAACGTTTTATATCAGCGTGAGAGCGATTACTAACCTTGAGGGCACTGATTTCACTCCGCTCAGGCAGTTAATGATAGTTCCTTGAGGGCCACAATGACTGCAATTATCATCAAGAATTGTACATAGACTTTCCCAGCGTTTCTAAGGTTCCTTTCGCCTTCGACAAAGCGAAGTTGATCACTTTAAAGCTGACTTTAGACACTCAAATGTTGCTCTAAGACTCCCAGGGCCAACTCCAATGGACCCTTCTTGCTCTGAATTACGACCATTCGAGGGCTTCCCAAGTCTTACTGTAAAGCCTAGTGCCCCCTCAACTGAGATCCGCTAACTCAGCATCAAATCTTAGATACGGCACGGCAAAACCCGAGGCAAGTTTCCTTACTTCACACACTCTGTAAGTAGGAACCCGGCTGTTAGTGGATTGTCGGATCGCTTTTCCGTGGGTAGTAATCCCTTCACAGTAAGTAAGTAAACAAACAAACAAACAAACAAATAAATAAATAATTCGGTCACTTAATCCACGACTATTTGTGGACACTGCTGTTCGCAGTTGGCTGCCTTGTTTCACTACAAAATATACATTCAATTGACTTTACAATATATTCTGTGAAGTGCTTTGAGTTGTCTCAACGACGTGATAAGGCGCAATATCAAATGCAAGGATACAACTCATATAAAACATCCCCAAATCTCTCATTGTGTATTTTCAATAGTTCAAGCAGACACGGTATAAACATTTCACACACTATAGGAGTCCTGAGCTCCATGAACTCTGCTGCTTTCTTTCCAAGTTTAAAACCAAAGCAATTGTGGATTACGCTGTCATCTGTATCTTTGTATACACAGGCGGCAAAGCATCTTGAGAGACATCTTACAAAGCAGGTAACACCAGTAATTAAACAGAAGCAACAAGCAATTAAGGAACAGCATGCTCTGAAACTGTACACCTTAAACTAATCTCAGGCGGTTGCTCAGTGCAGGGGAAGCTTTGAGTTACTTCCGACGCTAACCTGTCTTGTTGGCAACATGAGCACAAGCCCGCTTTCTCCTGCCATGAGCCTAAGTGGATTGAATGTTTCACATAATGGATTAATGATGGCATGATGGATTAGGATGTCTAGATAAGGTGAGCTTCACTTCACTGCTCACAAGGAAGGAGAGACAGTACAAGGTGCAAAGTGGGTAATAGATATATATATATATATATTCAAATCCATAGGGCCTGGGTAGGCCAATGGACCTAACTGCCTGGACATGCTCTGCAAAATTGTCCGTTATCCCTCCGCATCTGTGATTCATCCCCACTGTGATTCATCAGTCAGAGGCAGGTGTACTTTTAGCCTATCTGCCCCCAACTCCATCCCAGAGTCACTCTGACTCCCTCCCTCCCTCCCTCCCTCCCTCCATCCATCCATCACTCCCTCATCCCTTTCAAGGTCCATCTCAAGACCTACCGCTTCAACCGTGCCTTTGGTCATGTTTAAGAGCCTAGGCACGTACTCAGAACAAAATGGTAGAGCGTTGCGTCCGATACAACGCCTTTCAAGTCAGGAAGATGTCTCAAAGAGTTTCACAACGTGGTGAAGTGTGTTTCGAGGACAAACACGGCAGCCAGTTTGTTTGCACACGTACAGCAATTTGCACAGGGTTAACCCCCACCCCCTGCAAATTTTGCACCTGATCAGGGAGAAAACAAAAGGTCCTGAAGACATTTTTTTCAGAACAATGGCCATTGAGTGGCTGAGTGTAAATGCTGACTCAGTCAATGGCGAAAGTGTTTCATTTAGATTAAATCCAGGATAAGTATGTGTGTGCGTGTGTGTGTGTGTATGACTGGATGGGGAGAACAATAAATATCCTAACTAGGTCTTCCACTGTCGCGATCCTGACGTCGATCAATATTCCCTTCAGAACTTTACCCGAACTTCACCTGAGACTTTCGAACATTCTGATCAAACTAAATCGGATCAAATCTCAGGGGCCGTGCAATTTGCAACGGCAGAAAGGGATCACGTGTGACCTCCTCTGTGCTGACCTTTCTGGCGATTTGTTGGGATTTTCACATAATCCACTCTGTAATGAGTACGTTTTCGGGTTAACGTTGTTGCTGCTGTTGGCACGAAACCCATTTGGAAGAGACGCGGAAATTACGACTTTACGCCGAAACGACACAGGCGAGGGCAAAGCGAACTCCATGCCCTATTTTTTTTTAACTTAAAACAAAGCTTTTTGGATCAAAGCGTGGTATTGTTGAGCGAAAAAAAATAACACACACACACACAAGGGCCAAACGGGAAGAAAACCGAAACCACTTCAGGCGACCGCGGAAGGTGAATGTGGAGGCTGAAGGCTCCTGTTGGCAGTGGCTCCAGAATATTTTATCACTTGTTTTGTGAAATCGTTTGCTCTGGTCATTCATGTGGGGTTGAGGATGGTGGGAAAGAGAGAGAGAGAGAGAGGGAGAGGGAGAGAGAGGGGGAAGAGAGAGAGACACTGATTGACAAGTTACACACACATAGAAATCCCTTGTCCCATCTGACATTATTACCAGTTCAGCACAATCTGGGAACAAATGCGAATTAGGGGTCTCTCTTTCTCTGTCTCACTCACTCTGTCTCTCCCCCCACCATCATCTCCCCCTCTCTCTCTCTCTCTACTCTGTCTGTCTCTTTCTCTCTCCCT